CTGGCAAGTGAGTAATGAAGTCTTGCAGTGACATGTGATCATGTCACTTGAACTGGAATCCATCTTTAACCTGGTGCTTTTCCAGTGAGGGGGGGTGAAAACCCAGAGGGACAAAGAGTTCCCGCCTTATGCAAAAGATATATAAAGGGGTGGAAGAGAGAGAGAGGGAGGGAAGCCATCATGGAGAATCCCCTAGATAACACCTAAGCTGGAACAAGAGCTGTACCAGGGGAAAGAATTGTGCCCAGGCCTGGAAGGTGTCCAGTCTGAGAAAAACTTACTGAAGCATCTCTGAGGGTGAGATTATCTGTATTTAGTTTGATTAGGCATAGATTTGCGCATTTTATTTTATTTTGCTTGTGACTTACTTTGTTCTGTCTGTTACTACTTTGAACTACTTAAATCCTACTGTCTGTATTTAATAAAATCACTCTTTATTTAGTAATTTACTCAGAGTATGTATTAATACCTGGGGGAGCAAACAACTGTGCATATCTCTCTATCTGTGTTATAGAGGGCGAACAATTTATGAGTTTGCCCTGCATAAGCTTTATGCAGGGTAAAACGGATTTATCTGGGTTTAGACCCCATTGGGAGTTGGGCATCTGAGTGCTAAAGACAAGCACACTCCTGTGAGCTGTTTTTGGGTAAACTTGCAGTTTTGGGACAAGTGATTCAGACCCTTGGTCTGTGTTGGAGTCAGACAGGAGTGTCTGACTCAGCAAGACAGGGTGCTGGAGTCCTGAGCTGGCAGGGAAAACAGAAGCAGGGGTAGTCTTGGCACATCGGGTGGCAGCTCCCAAGGGGGTTTCTGTGATCCAACCCGTCACAGGGTAAATCCTTTTCAATCACTCAGATATTAAAGTGACGGGGATCATGTAGTATTGACCAGTAATATAGAATGGGATGTAGTCGGGCTCCTAACACGCATCCTAACTCTCTCCGGCTCTCATGAAATCCCACGAGAGATTCGCGGGAGGAATTGTTTAAAATTATTCGTGTGTTTCTTCAACACCCTTTATTGTCAGAGCGGCTGCAATGGGAGAACATTCAAATTCTGTAGAACAGTGAACGGATTTCAACTCGCAACACGTGTTTATTCTATTCACCAGCAGATGGCGCTGCTTTGCCATTAGTTCGCCACACCACACTCATAGAAAGCATCGCTTTTATCGTGTGGGAACTATACTTAAAAAAAAAGTAATAGAAAGGAATGTCAGTAACCAAACCAATCAGCCCATCATATGAATTTTTCTTCCATTTGAATACTCACTTCACTTTGGTAGCGTGGCACTCACTGTAGCTTCACCCCATCACAAGCAGCCCAACATATGTGAAAACAACGAGGAGTCCGGTAGCATTTTAAAGACTAACAGATTTATTTGGGCAATAAATTTTCATTGTTTTTGTGCATACAGATTAACACGGCTACCCCTCTGATACTTGCCAACATACGTATTTTCACCTAATTTTTAAAATATTTCACCCACATTTTTCCACAAATGGGATTTTAACAGTTTTTTTTTTCATATTTTACTCATTCATTTTAACTCCGATTGTACCAGAAATAAGGATTTCGATTTTATTTGTTATCTGGATTTTTATTCTCCCATTTGCACACCGCAGTTTAGTACAAATTAGCATTTTTTTTACCCCACACTACACACGTAGAGCCCTTTATATTCTCCAAGCGTGGCAGTTGAATGTAGCTCTTCAAATACTTAACTCTTGGAAGGAGCTAGAACAAATAAATTGACCTCCCCTAGTCATCCGAAAATATGTGGTTTTACATAGTGGAAGGAGTCCCCTCTAGAGATCTGCAAGCAGCATTAATCTCTGAAAATCGAATGCAGCAGGCAGGGCCGGCTCTGGCTTTTTCGCCGCCCCAGGCTCGGCTCTTCCCCCCCTCCCAGAGCGCCGGGGGCAGGGCGCCGGGGGGGAGGGCAGCCAGAGCGCCGGGGGGAGGGCGGCGAGCCCTGCTGTGGCCCCGCTCTCCCCGGCGGCCGGAGCGCCGAGCCGGCCCCCTCCAGGTGCCGCCCCAAGCACCAGCTTGGGTGCCTGGTGCCTGGAGCCGGCCCTGGCAGCAGGGCTGGGGGGGGGGCGGGGTTTGTACGGCTCTCCTATGTGGATCTGTCACTGTGTCACATCCAGAGCGCAGAGATACACCGCTGTGTCTGCCAGCTCCAGGGCTGCGATGCTCAGAACTGTGGAGCTGTCATCAGCCTGGGAAGAAAATCTCTTCTGTGCGAAATCTGCGGTATTACTCTCATCTCTGGCTTGCTTCACTCCTCTGAAGAGAATGTACTGCGGGGTTTGGTTGGGAAACTGACGGTACCAGTAGAGATAGACGTACCCTGTAGAGCTGGTATCATAAGAACAAGTGAGGGTCATAGAGTCTCCTTCTCTTCCAGAGAGGTGGGGTTCCCTGGACTGGACCGAGTCCCCCAGCGCAGCATCTGCAACAAAACAATGAAATTAAGGGCATCATTTCACCTGTACCTGTGACCCGCAGAGGTGCATTGCGGTGTGAGACTGGCAATTTCGAAAAATCTTAAGGGGTTTATGCGCCCGATGGCGTTTAAAATAAGGTTGGGGCTAGAGTATAGTAGGTATTTGGCATTGCCGTTCGGTTTAGGGCTAGGTTTAGGGTGTAAGGGTCAAGTGGAGAGTCAGGTTCCAGATAGGGTTAAATGGTAAGTAGGACTTTAAAGTTCCTTCGACTATCTCAGAAACCCCAGCTTGTTTACCTAGGTGATTAAATAGCCAAATGCTGAATATATAATACGTCTCCATGATTTTTTCCTATTGTGATTAAGTGAGACGCTGCAGATACCGCTGCCAAGAGGAATCTAAACTTCACGGCTCTTCAGGCAGCTACAACTAACTGGGGGGTGGGGAATGGGGGAGGTTCATGAGAAACTGGCCTAGTGGAGGCGGGAGGGGTTTTGGGAAACTCTGAACAGACACAGGAAGCGCGGTGAGATGGGCTCAGTCTGCAGGTGACAAAGTGGTGACACTGAGGGGAGAAGAGTGAGCTAGTGGCTGAGGCTCTGGGCTGAGATACAGGAACCCTGGCTTCGATTCCCTGCTCTGCTACAGACCCCCTCTGTGACCTTAGGAAAGCCAGTTGATATCTTCCTGGGCTCCCTTTCCCTACCTCTACAAGACAGGCACAGGACCATCTTTCCCTCACGGCTGCATCGTGAGGCTGGATAATTTGAGGCGCTCTGATATCATTCAGAAGAAGCCCATGAAAATAAGTAGATTTTTTTAACAATTAAGTCTGAAATGTTCAGAGAAATTAAGAGAGCTAGGTGTCTAATTCACCTCGGTTCCTTTGAACTTCCTCGCCGCATTTTTAGAACAATTATTTTAATGCCTCTCTCTCTCTCTCTCTCTCTGCGTGTGTGTGTGTCCTCCTGGTTAAAATACTTTTTGCCAAATAGTTTT